GGGAAAGAGCAAGAGAGCGAGAGTGAGAGTGAGAAAGCGAGTCACCAACCAGGTCCAGGACTCGAACTGTGGTTGATCATTTGGGAGTCCAGCACCTCTAGCCACCACACCACCTGCTGGCTCCCCCCATTTGGATAATTTTGAAATCTTCAACAATGGGTCATAAAGACTATGGTAATGCTTATGGGACTGTTAGTTAAGAAACAGAATTCAATTTCACTTGTTCAAGTCTTGCCTGGTGGTTAAGGTAGCCAGATCCCACATGGCCGACCATGTGGTTCAAGTCCCAGCTCCAGTGGTTTGGAACAGATACCCAGCTCTGTGTGTGTGCGTGCATGCGTGTGTGTGTGTGTGTGTGTGTGTGTATCTCAAATCCTGACAGGATAGAGAAATGGAGGAGAAGGGATTATAGACTGGCCATGCCCCAAGAGGAGGGTGCTTTCTTTCTTTTCTTCTCTCTCTCTCTGGTGAGTGCACACACTCTCTAGCAATTAAAAAAATACATATTTACCATGAGAACAACTAAATATGAAACAGCCTGCATATAGCAAAAAGAGGGGAAAGAAATAGAAAAAGAAAATAAGATAGTTCTGTGAGGGTTGTGGAATACTGGGGTGGTTTCTTTTTCCTCTAAACTGTACATTATATTACTTTCAATATTTAAAAAAAAAGTGTTCATGAAAGTGTTGCTGCCTCAAAATAAAATGTTGATTGATGCAGAAAAGATAAAATTAAGATTTCAATCCGGAGGCCAGCATTTGACTAAAACAGAAAGAAAACAAACCTCTTATCTGTTCTCAGCCCACCCTGTTTTCCATGTGTTCTTAAAAATCTTAGTGATTAAGGAATAATATAATGATTAGTGTGAATCTTGAATTTAATCGAAAGAAAGCAGCCTCAGGAGGCATGGCATAGATATTTTGTCCCAGCCAGCATTTTGAAAACTATCACCGGAGGGAAAGAAGGGTGTTGTGGCAATCTATTTTCTTTTCTGTAGCCAGCTACTATATTTTAAGGTTGTAATGTGGTCAAATCTCATTTATGGTGGTGGAAACCTTTGTATATAAGTAGGATAGCAAGTTATTAAAGACCATTTCATATTTATCAAAACAGTATCAAATCTATGGGTCCCAAAATGATCTGGTTATTTCGAACGTGTGAACACAATTTTTTTAGAGAGATTTTTGCTATAGGATGTGTGTGCTTGTGGTGGTGTGTGTGTCGGGGGGTGGTGAGGGGAGAAGAGAAAGAGAGAAAGTAAGTAGGAAATGAATTCACCACCCAGGAAGAATAGCCACATTGCAATCCCTTCTCCATTTTCTTCTTGGGTTTTTGGGCACTTGCACCCAGTGTGAGTTTCAAGCCACAGGTTCTGGGACTTGAATCATGTTGGCCATTTGGGAGTCCAGAGCCTTAACCACTATTAGCTCTGAATACAAATGTTTTAAGATTTTTCAATTCATATTGAGTCTCAGAAATTTCTAGATGCCATTACCAGAAATGAACATTAGCGCCATACTTCAATAGAATAGATACAAATTAGGAAAATTTTTTTGAGACATTTTTGCTGTAGGACACATGTTCTCGACAGAAAGACAGACAGAAAGCAAGAAATTGCCCCCCTGGGTGGGGGTGGCCACACTGCAATCCCTTCTCCTCTATTCTCCTCTTGGGATCTTGGGCACACACACACACACACGCCAGCATGAATTTAAGCATTGGGTTCGGAACTCAAACCATGATCAACTACATGGCAGTCCAGCGACATAGTCATCATACCAACTGCTGGTCCCCAAATTAGGAAATTTTTAATCCTAGTTTTTTTTTTTTTAATCCTTGGAGGTACGAAAAGAAGTTGTACATGGTATAGCAAAGACATTTTTTAGCCTTGAACCAGAAAAACATTGCAGAAACCACAGGGAGAATTCATTATATTCTTAGGAATGTGTTTCTTTTCCTTTTTTTCTTTTGTCATGACTTGTATAATGTCTTTGAGTCTGGACTTTTTATAACTCTGATCCCTCAATTAACTGAGATGAGAACTGATTGAGTAACGGTAAACTCTTGCCAGAGACCTGCTGACAATAGTGTTTTCTTCAGCCATTTCTGTTTCCTGAAGTAACTATTATAAAAGAAGCTTTTTCAGATCAGGTTTGGACTGTGAGTTCAAGATGGAGAGTGTCTCCTGTAATTGCCGGCCTTGGTCTGCACAGAGTGACTTTCTTTGAGACGTTTAGGGTGGAGATTCCAGCTGGATGTGCTAGAAGTAGTGCTGAATGGATTCTAATTCTGTGGAAGGCCCTTTGAGCTCTTTATCCTATAAAAGTCCATTTCAGTGACTGAATAGATAGTAGACATTTGGCCCATTCTAATATCCTCCAAGTTGGAAGGGTCCTTCAGGTACCTTTTATTCCCATAGGAAAAACACAATGTGAGCAAGTCAAGTATTCAACTGTATTTTTTATATTCTTAAGACTCTGCTGGAAAAAGTGAGATTTTTCATTAGTTTTTTCCCATTAGAATGTTAGGGCTTTCAGACTTTAAGGACTAGTAATTATTTTTTTTATTAACATGTAATAATGGTACCAATTTGTGGGATACAATCTGATTTCCCAGTATAGGAATACAATGTATAATAGTTAAGTCAGGGAAATCATCGCAACCATTTGCCATTATTTTTTGTTGGAAACATTCAAAATCCTCTTTTTTTGTTATTCTGAGATATACAATATGTTGTTGTTAATTACATTCTTGCCACTATAGTACTAGTAATTTGTTTGTTTATTTTTAGAGGTTTTTGCCTTAGGGTGTGTGTGCTTGCCCAGAGAGAGAGATAGTGAGAGGGAAAGTGAGAAATCACCACTCCCCAGGGGCATGGCCATGCCACAATCTCTTCTCCATTTTCCTCCCAGTATCCTGGGGCACATGTGCCCACCGTGAGGTTCAGCCACCAGGTCCAGGACTTGAACTGCAGTCAGCCATATAGGAGTCCAGTAACTTAACCACTACACCATCTGCTGGTCCCAGTACTAGTATTATTATTGTTGTTGTTTTTGCTAGAGGGTGCTTCAAGAGAGCAGAGAGAGACTGAGGTAGGAGGAGTGAGGAAGAACTTCCCATGGGCCATGCCACAATCCATCTCCTCCATTTCTTCATCCTTTCAAGATTTGGGACATATACATGCACATGTGCCATATATTTCTCTAGTGGCTGGGTCTAGGACTTGAACCATGCAGTTGCTCATTTGAGATCCAGGCACCTTAACCACCATGTCACTGGCTGGCCCTGTATTAGTAATTCTTTTTTTTTTTTTTTTTTTTTTTGAGAGGTTTTCGCTATAGGGCGCGTGCGCTCGCCAGACAGACAGAGAGAGACAGAAAGCGAGAAATCACGTGAGTTTTAAGCCACCGGGTCCGGGACGCAAACCGTGGTCAACTACGTGGGAGTCCAGTGACATAGCCATTACACTAACCGCTGGTTCCCTGTATTAGTAATTCTTAAACAGAATAATAAATTCATAGTACAGAATCACAGATAAAAAGTACACAGTATCTTGAGGCTGGAGGAAAAGGCTCAGTACAGCATTCATATAGAGGACTTAAAAAAATTGAAGGAAAAGCCAAATTTTCTTGGTAGCTGAATACACTGCAGGGTTGGTTGGTTTGTTTGCTTTGTAACCTTCTGTCCTTGTTTTGGCAATTCGAATCTAAAAGCTTGGGTTTCTCTTTTTCCTCTCCCTGATTTCATCTTTTACGCTATATACTGTATAATCTTCTCAAAGTAAAAATTGCTTCTCAGAACAGTCTCTGGGGAGCAGTAGATTGGCATGGTGGTTAAGGTGCTAGATCCCACACGTTACACTCTGTGGTTGAAATCTTGGACTTGATCGCTTGATAAATCACGCTAGCGCCTATGCATGCATGCCCAAAATCCTGAGAGGAGAATAGAGGAGAAGGGATTGTGGCGTGGTCTTCCCCCCGAGGGGTGATTTCTCACTTTCACTCTGTCTGTCTCTTTCTCTCTCTGGTGAGTGCCTGTGGCCTATGGCAAAAATCTGAAGAAAAAAAGGAATAACAACAATCTTTCTTTGTAGCTCAATAGTGGCATACCAGCCAGCTGGAGACAACAGTCACACCTTTGATGTCACAGCCATGTTCAAGTCTATCGGGATCTTCCTTGGGATCTTCAGCGGATCTTTTGCCATGGGTGCTGCTACTGGAGTGGTGACAGCTTTAATATCCTTTTATTCTATTTATCTGTTCAACCTGATGAAGTAGCACTTGAGTGGTTTCTCTTAGTTCTACAATTTCTGTCACAAGTATTAACCTTAATAACTAAGTACTTGGTTTAAAATCCTTAAGTGTAAATCTTGACCAATAAATAAATAAATAGAATGTCATTGTTTTGCTTAGGGCTCTGTGCCCTAATACTTTCACTATAAGACCCTAACTGGAGGGCCAGCAGGTGGCATAGAGTGGGCACATGGCAGACCGCAGTTCAAGTCCTGGACCTTCATTGAGATAAGCACACAAGCCCTATGGCAAACTGAACATAATAATAATAATGATGATAAATAAAATCAAATAGTTCTTTAAAAAAAGAGAGTCTAACTAGGCACACTATCCCTTTGTGGGTGAATTTTAACGTTAGAGATTAAACTGATGTAAAGGTAGATATATTCCAAACAGCCTCTGGGGGTTCTGTGTGCTGGTCAGCCTGGTATTCCTTTGCTCTTTGTTTAAAAGGACAAATGGAAAATCTATGACCATGATGGTAAGTGAACAAAATACAGGATTTGCAGGTCACATCATAGGAGAATTTGCCTCAGCTCTCATGATGTTGACCTTTATGCTCCAGAGCCCTAGGCTAGGAGCCCAAAGGACCTGTGTTGTGGTGGGGTACTGCCACTAGTTAACTACTACAGTATTGGGCTAGTTATTTTTATATTCCTTCAGAAGACATATCTGGATTGCCTGCTGCATGCGGAATGCTGTGCTCTGGGTATCAAAGATAAACAAGCCCAACATGGCCTCTGCCTCCCTGCAGCATCGCCTCCCTGCAGCATCTGGTGTAGTAGCAGATGCCAAATGATAGAGCTTTGATATGTCACCTCTTTGGATCTCAGTGTAGCAAAGTGGAGGGTGGGGACAGTAGGGAAGGTGACTTGAACTTAATGGTCTCTACAAATTTCCTTGCTCTAAAATGTCTTAGATAATTTGTTCAATGTTATTTATTTCTTTTTAAAATATTTTGAATAATTTCATTTTTTTTTGGAGAGGTTTTTGCCATAGGGCGCATACGCTCGCCAGAGAGACAGAGAGAGACAGAGAGATAGAAAGCGAGAAATCACCCCCCAGGGGGGATGGTCACGCCGCAATCCCTTCTCCTCTATTCTCCTCTCGGGATCTTGGGCACGCACGCACACGTGCCCAGCGTGAGTTTTAAGCCACCAGGTCCGGGACGCGAACCGCGGTCGACTACGTGGGAGTCCAGCGACATAGCCATTACGCTAACTGCTGGTCCCGATCATTTCATTTTATTTTTGAAGGGGTTTTTGCCTTAGGATGTGTATACTCGGTGGCGAGAGAAGGAGATAGACACAGTGAGAGGGAAAGTGAGAAATCACCCCCGAGGGGGATGGCTATGCTGCAGTCCCTTCTCCTTTATTCCCCCCTCCCTGATCTTGGTCACATGTGCATATGCACCCGGTGTGAGTTTCAAACCACCAGGTCCAGGACCACATTGGCCATATGGGAATCCAGCAATATAACTGCTTTGCCATCTGCTGGCCCTCTGTTTATTTCTTAATAAATAAATGAGAGTGAGTAAGAGGGTAAGAGAAAGAAATGGACAGACAGATGGACAGACAAGCATTCTGAACAGAGTCCCTTGCCATAATCCCTCCCCTACCCCTATCCTTCCCAGCCAGCTGGAGTCATAGATGTCATCCAGGAAATGAAACTATAATCTTCATGTGGATCCAGCATTGCTTGAGCAGCACACTTGCGCTACCCCACCAGGCCAGCCCTAAAATCCTTTTATATACAGCAAATACATTATTCTCTTTTAAGGATCTTTTAGCGTGGTATACTTCAACTTAGTGCTGGAAGATACTTCTTTTATGGCTTTTTATAGGTGAACTGGGGCATAAATGGGCAGTAAAAAGAGTTCTGAACAAGAAGCCAGGCCAGATAGTATCTTTTCCATTATGGGTTCCTTGAGGGTAGGCTATCTTGTCAATCATTTTGTTAGAGTACATAGTTGTCGAAGTGGCTAGATTCTAGCCTGAGATTTCTTACAACTTGGCACCGGCAAGCTGACCACTGTCAACTGACAAATACTTTTAGACTACTATAAGTATGCAGAATGCCTCAGCTTCTTCATTGTGGAATGAATGCAACACATCACATAGGATCAGGTACATTTGAAATCTCATGGATAGGACATATTTTTTATAAACGTAAATTGCTATAATTATGGAAGCTGGCTTGCTTTGGGTCAAAAATGAGTAGAGAATTGCATGTTGTGTATCTGATCTATTGCTTGGTTTCTGCCAAGGTCTGTAATACCTGTAACGATTGGAGGGGCTAGGCACTGAGATTTTCCCCACTGGAAGAAAGGCAGCTGATGCTCATTTGAAGAATTTCTTCACTTTGGTCTTTCTTTATTCTGTGACTTTTGCGTTAAAGGGGCTAGAGAACCCTTTAAAAAGTTTATTTATATGTTTCTTCCATGAGTAAGAGAGACAGAGAAAGATGGAGACAGACAATCCCCATTGGGATGTTGACACTGTAGTCTATCCTTAGACTCAGCTAGCTCCAAGCCATGGGCACATATGTGCTCAGTGTACTCAGGTGTGGGGGGAGGGGGTCTCCAGATGCAAACCTGGAACCTTCCCATGTTGGTTGGCCTTCTCAAAGCATTGTGTTTTACTGTTGTGCCATCTGGCTCTTTGACAACTTTTTTACTCTCATGGTTATCTTATTGAGACTATATTCTTCTTCTTCTTCTTCTTTTTTTTTTTTTTAAGAGAGATTTTTGCTATATGGCATGTGTACTTGCTGGAAAGACAGATAGAAATCAAGAAATCATCCCCCCCCCCAGGGGGATGGCCATGCCCCAATCCCTTCTCCTCCATTCTCATCTCGGGATCTTGGGCACACACTCACACGTGCCTGGCATGAGTTTAAGCCACCGGGTCCGGGACTTGAACTGTAGTCAACTACATGGGAGTCTAGCGATGTAACCATTATGCCATCTGCTGATCCTGAGAATACATTCCTCTTCTAACCACATTTCTTTATTATGAGATCTTGTTACCAACCTTAACAGTCTTACGTGACAAAGTTCACCAAATTACGAGAGTTCCAGTTGCTGGAGACAGGCTTGTTCTTCCTGATGTCCTGGAGTACCTTCCTCTTGGCTGAAGCCTGGGGTTTCACAGGTAGGTTATTTTTTTCCCTTTGATTGAGAACCCTTATATGGAGTAACTAAGTTAATCTCTTCTTTAAGTGGGCCAACTCCATTAGTATTTGAACGTACTTGTTATGGTTGGGATTTCGGCTGTCACTTTAGAATATAAAGAAGATTTTCGGTGGAAGTGGTTCCTCTTAACAAAGTAAGTCACTATTGAGAATTTCAATACTAAGCATACTATCTCCTGCAAACCAGAATGCTCAGTATAAAAGTTGGGAACCGTTCTTGTATGTGAACTTGACACTTGTCTTTCTAGGTGTAGTTGCAGTGTTGTTCTGTGGCATCACACAGGCACATTACACGTACAATAATCTGTCCACGGAGTCCCAGCATAGAACTAAACAGGTAAGAGAAACTTTCTAGTTTGTGAATAAATTTTTTCTTCTTTCAATAAATCAGAAATCTCTTTTACTTAAAAATAATCTTTGACCTGTTCAAGTTGATGCCTACTCTTCCTTTGACTCTAGGAATAGATGGGATTGGGGAATTGTAGGGTGACAGCTTTTAGAATGGAGAGAGGTCTTCAGAATAGACAAGGACTGTTAACTATTGTGGTTCCAATAGTGAGTCTCTTGGTGTTCTCCTAATCCAATGGTTTTGAGGAGGAATGTTGTAGAAGCACACTCTGGCTGCGAAAAACTACTGCTGTGTGTCATAGCTAAGAATAACTTTTGATATGACTAGCCCTACTGCTGGGGGTTACTGAGATCAACTTCCCTCAGGCTTTACTCGGGCACTGCACAGCTGCTTTGTTTCCAGAGATGTCAGTGTACTGACCACTGACGGGCAGGCTTCATTTGGTACCAAGTGATCAGTTGTGCAGGGTAATCTAAGGCAGTTACGGAGAAAATGGGCATGTGATTTTCTAGTCTCAGGAGGTATATGGGAAAAATACATGAACAACATGTAATGTCTGGAAGAGAAACAGGTGTGTATTTGCTGATGGTTATAGTGAGAAATAGAAGAGGGTCTTCACAAAGTTTGTAGAAAATGCATACCATGAAAAACTATACATGGATCTCAAAAATGTTTCCACTAGAATGAACTTGTGCTTTGATTCCATTTTTTCCATGAACTTTTAAAAGTCCCCTGATAGAAGCTTAATGTTTTGCCAAGTAATTAGAACCTAATAGAACTGGCCTAGAAGGGACTTGTACTGAAGCAGGGGCAATGTTTTATTTCTTCTTTCTTTGGGAGCCACAAATTTACTTTATGACCTCTGGTTTTTCCCAGCACAAATTAGAACCCCCCCCTCTCCCCGCCAAGCATATACATTGGGATTACAAATTCTTTATTTTTTTTCCCATGTTTTTGCCATAGGGTGAGTGTGCTCATCAGAGAGACAGTGAGAGGTAAAGTGAGAAATCACTCCAAGGGGATGACCATGCCATGGTCCCTTCTTCACTCTCCTCTTGGGATCTTGGGCATGCATGCACATGTACCTGGCATGATTTTTAAGCTGCCAGGTCATGAACTCCAACCGTGGTTGACCATGTGCGAGTCTAGCACCTTAATCAACATGCTACCCGCTGGCCCCTAAAAATCCTTCTTTTACAGATTAATTCTGTGCAATATGCATAAATAAGAAAATCAGTTGAGGGAGGGTCAGTGCTTTTCTAGGTGTAGTAGGTTGGGAAATCAAAAGTAACAACCTATTAGAACTTCTAGTCTTGTTGGTGATAAGAAGCATGTATACTTGAAAGAACCATCACAAATAGGAGTCCTAGATTGTGTACCTCGATTCTGTGTCCTATAAGACATCAGAGAAGAAGGGAAATGGTCTGAGGCTTGAGGAACTAGAACACCATTGTGGAGGAAATGGTGAACTGAGAAGGATGGGAAAGATTCCGACAGGGATCCTAAGGGAAACAGTTTGGATAGAGGTGTGGATGAAGAGAAACACAATGAAAGGTAAAGCAGGGATTGGAGTTGGCCCTTGCTGGTCTGGAGCTCAGGATAGTTTTCATACTTTTTTGTTTTTGTTTTTGCTGTAGGGTGCGTGCACTTGCCAGGAAAGACAGAGAGAGAGAGAGAATGAGACAGTGAGAAATTACTCCCTGGGGGGATGGCCACACCACAATTCCTTCTCCTCCATTCTCCTCTTGGGATTTTGAGCACATGTGCACATGCACTTGGTGTGATTTTCAAGCCACTAGGTCCAGGACTCGAACCATGCAGCCAGCCATTTGGGATCAAGAGGCTTAACCTCAACGCCATCTGCTGGCCCTATTTTCACATTTTTTAATGTTTGAAGAAATATCAAGAAAAGATGCCTGGTGGCTCATCAAATTTCAGTGCTCACCAGTAAGGTTTACTTGGCACACAACCACACCCTTTAAAAAATGTGTATAATCAATGGCTGTTTTTTTGCTACACTGGCAGAATGAAGTAGTTGTGACAAAGACCTGGTGATAACACTGGTTTACAAAGACGAATTATTACCAGAGCTGTATAGGTAGCTACGGAAGGCAGGGTTTAGGTGTGGGCTTTTTGATTCCTGAGCCCCCTTTCTTAACCTCTAGCCTGTTGGGGGGAAGAAGACTCTCAGAGCAGTGGTAGGTAACAGTGGTAGCCAGGAAGGCAGCAGAGGATGGGGGGCTTGCATTTGTCCAGGCAGCAAGTTTCCTGCACCTGCTATGTTGGTAACTCTGAATGAGACAGTGATGAGAATGGTCTGGTAGGACAGGTAGCAGCAGAGGGCACAGCTGCAGGGCTGTCATGCCTAAGCCCTGTGTCTAGAATGCTTTCTCCCTAAACAAGGTGTAAGACTCGGGGAAAAAGTGAAGCCACATGGCAGATTGGTGATACAAGAGTTGCCATGGACTCTGCCAGAATAAAAGAAGTCATATGGAGGACCAGTAGAGGGTGTAATAGTTACATAGCTGGACTCCCACGTAGTTGACTGTAGTTCGAGTCCCGGAACTGGCAGGTTCCAACTCATGCCAGGTGCATGTGTGCCCAAACTCCTGAGAGGAGAATGGAGAAGAGGGGATTGCAGCATGGCCATCCTCCTAGGGGTGATTTCTCACTTTCTTTCTCTCTGGTGAGTGCACATGGCCTATAGAAAAAAAAATCTCTCTTAAAAAAAAAAAAGAATCATATGAAATCTTATAGCTTATAAAGAGAGAAGTATCTTGAAACCACCACTTTTAGAAAGATTGGGTGCAGATAGGGAGTGGAAGATGGGCCATGGTAAGGATACCAGTTAGGGTCCTTCTGCAGCATTGTGAGTGGGGTGCAATAAAACCCAGACAGAAGGAGGAGAATGACTGAAGGTGGAGATTTGAAGGGAAACCAATTGGGGGAAGAAAGGGGGTGACATTTCTTGATGCTTCTGTGGGACTCGAAATGTTCTCTCTACTTCACTTCTGCCCGAATCACATCTTTTCAGGTTTGTACATGAACTGTATGTAGTCGAAGTGTGCTTTTCATGATCTTAGCAGTACTCATGTTTTTAAATGATGTGATTTGACTTATTTACTGGACTAACTTTTCACAATTTCGTTTCAGTTGTTTGAGCTTCTCAATTTCTTGGCAGAGAATTTCATCTTCTCCTACATGGGGCTTACACTGTTCACCTTCCAGAACCATGTCTTTAATCCAACATTTGTAGTAGGAGCATTTGTATCCTTTTTAAATTGATATTCTCATATGGTTTGGGGGGATGTGGTTGATAAAAATGCACTTAAAGGGGCAAGCAGGTGTTTAAGGTGGGTGTGTAAGGTGCTAGACTCCCACATGGCTGACTGCGAACCTGCCTGCTTGCTTTCCCACTTTCCCTCTCTCTGTCTCTCTCTGGTGAGCCCATGCATCCTATAGCAAATAAAAAAATGATGATAAATAACATAATTCTTTAAAGACAGAATACACTTAAATATGTAACATTTTCTTCTGAGTTAAACAAGTTGGGATTTCAGTTCTGTTCTATTCTGTTGTCATTTGAATAATGCTGACAGTTGAAATGACAGAGAAGCCCCCTACCCTTCTGTCAACCCCCAAAGGTAAAACTGTCTGCCATTACTAGAGGGAAGGAGAGGATGGATACTGGAGAATAATTAGCAGTTTATGCCACAGGGCGGTAGGTAAAAGATGAGGAAAGGTTGAATGAAGTCAATTTTTTAAAAAATGTTTATTTTTGGTACTAGCAGATGACATAATGGTTATGTCGCTGGACTCCCATGTACGCAACCGCGGTTCAAGTCCTGGACCCAGCATCTTAAATCTCACACTGGGTGCATGTGCATGCATGCCCAAGATTTCGATAGGAGAATGGAGAAGGGATGGCAGCATGGCTATTTCTCTTGGGGAGTGATTTCTCACTTTCTCTCACTGTTTCTCTCTCTCCAAAAAAAGTTTATTTTTTTTCCATGCTTAGAGATCAGTAGCTTCATATCTTGTTAGCCTTGGAGAAGTTTTTTAAGTCATGGAGGGCTTGATCCACTATGTTTAATTTGGAAACAAGGCTTAATATTCTCTGTAGATTTCAGAATCTGTTAGGAATTGAAGTGAATTGAATAAAAACCCTACCAGGACCAGTAGGTAGCATGGTGGTTAAAGTGCTCGACCCTCCCACATAGGTGACCACGGTTTGAGTCCTGGACTGGCGGCTTACTTTCTCACTTTCTCTGTCTCTCTCTCATCAAATTAAAATGAATGAATGAATGAATAAATAAAATTAAATAAAAATAATTCTAAAAAAATAAAACCCACCTACCATGACTGTTGACTCATAACAGGAGAGAGTTGTTTTCTTTCTGGCTATGTTAGTTAGAATATATGTTTGTTTTCATGTAGCAAAGACACAGATTAACCCCGCTATAAACAAGTTAGAACTTTATTTCTTTTATTTTCTTCTTTTTAATGATAGAGTATGCACATGAAACCGAGAAAGAGGGAGAGAGAGAGAAGCACCCTTGACAGGGTCATGTCATGCCATGAACCCCTTTCTTCAGCTCTCTAGCTCTTCAGGGTCTTGGGCACTGCACTTGATATGTTTTCAGGTCAACCTGGGGATCTGAACCCATGGTCTGTCACGTGGCTTCCATCACTGCAGTGCAATATGCTATGCACTTTGCCACCTGACTAGGCCAGAAGTTTGCTTCTTTCTCATGTAAAGTCTAAACTGGTGTGGTAACTCTTCTCCACAAAGTCATCAGGAGCCTAAGCAACCTTGTGGCTAACATCCTTAGAGAGTTGTGCTTGTTCTCACGGTCCAAGGTAGCTCACTCCTGTGCTTTCCAGTAGCTCTTAAGGACACAGTCCAGATTATTCCCACATCCCTTCCTCTTAACCTCATAGGTTACACCTACCTGCAAGGGAAACTGGGGATTATCTTCTATATCTGGGTGGCTGTGTACGCAGGTAAATATCAGAGATGGGAGGGAAAAGTATCTACTACTGTAGAAGAGAGGAAGAATAGGTCCTGGGGAGAACTAGCAGTCATTGCCACATTGGCCCACAATATTTTATTGTTTCTGTTGTGTTTACTTTTTAAAGGGAATCACTTAATTTTTTTTTTTAATTTTTGCTCTAGGGTGCATGCACTCACCAGAGAGAGGAACAGAGATGGAAAGAGCAAGAGAAAGTAAGAAATCACCCTCCAGGGGAATGGCTATGCCCCAGTCCCTTCTGCATTCTCCTCTTTGGTATACGCGCACATGCCTGGTGTGTTTTTCAAGACGCCAGGTCCAGGACTCATACCACACAGTTGGCCGTGTGGGATCTAGCACCATAACCTTTATGCTACTGGCAGGCCCCAGGAATCACTATTTTTAATAATTTTTAAATTTTAGAATTATTTTAGGTTTGTAGAAAAATTGTAAGTTTGGAAAGTTATCATATACCCCTTAACTAATTTCTCTTGTTACTAACATATTAGAATAGCATATTTGTCAAAATGAGTGAACCAGTATTTGTGCATTATTTATTCAGATTCCAATCGTGTTTCCCTGATGTCCTTTTTTTTTACAAGGTCCTATTCAGGATACCATATTACATTGAGTTATCATGTCTTTTTAGGCTCTGCGTGACTGTGACAGTTCCTCAGATGTTCCTTGTCTTCCTTCCTTCCTTATTTCCTTACACAGACAGGTACCCTCAACAGGCTAGTCACACTGTGATCCACCTCTAGCCTCAGCTAGCCTCAGATCATGGGCACATACATGACTGACATGTTCAGACATGAACCTGGAACCCACCCCTGTGGGTCAACTTTGCAGTGCATTGAGTTACTACTGTGCCACCATTTGCCCCCCTATTCCTTGTTTTTGATGACCGCTTTTAAGGGGGCACTAGCTAGTTATTTTCTAGAATGTCCTGTATTTGGAATTTGTCTGGTATTTCCCCCATGATTAGCCTGGGGTGTGTGTTCTTTGAGAGAAGACCACAGAGATAATGTACTAATCTCATCATATCGCATCACATCAAGGGCACATACTGTTACTTGGTTGAGTAGTGTTTCTCAGCTTTCTCTATCACAAAGTTACTCATTTTCCCCCTTTTTGTGTTGTACTACTTAGAAGGAAGCTACTATGTGTAGGGGCTGGGGAGAGGGGAGTTAGGTTCTACCTCCTAAGGAAAGAATATCTACAAAATTTTGTGGACATGGGGCCAACAGGTGGTGTGGTAGTTAAAGCTCTGAACTCCCACACGACTGACTGGTTCAAGTCCTGGACCTGGTGGATTGATTTCTCACTCCCCCTGCCTCTTTCTCTCTGTCTCTTTTTCTCTGGTGAGTGCATGAACCCTATAGCAAACTAAAATAATAATAAATAAAATTAAGTAATTATTTTTAAAATTATATGGTCATGGGGGCCAACAGGTGGCATGATGGTTAAGGTGGCTGGAACCTATAGGACGCCCACATGACTGACCATCGTTCAAGTCCCAGACCCGGCCGCTTGCCTTCTCACGTTCCTTCTCTCTCTGTCTCTCTGTGGTCAACTTCAATAAAATAAATAAATTAATAAAATAATGACAGTGAATAAAATAAAATAATTCTTTTAAAAAAATTATATGACCTTTATATAGGAGATTTATCTGTCTTCCCAATTTTTTCTCTTATCTAGCTATTTATTTTTGGAGAAGTTTTTGCTATAGGGCATGTGCACTCACCAGAAGAACAGAGAGAGAGAGACAGAGAAAGATAGAAAGCGAGAAGTCACTCCCCAGGGGCGATGGCCTTGCCGCAATTCCTCCGCCTTCATTCTCAGAATTCTGGGCACGCACGCACACACGCCCAGTGAGAGTTTAAGTCGCCGGGTCCAGGACTTGAATTGTGGTCGACTTCATGGGAGTCCAGTGACATAGCCATGACGCCAACTGCTGGTTCCCTGGTCATTTATTTATATCAGTGTGAACTCAATGATATTTATTTTATATTTTGGGTTGTGATACAGTAATACTTTTTAAATTTTGTTGCTTAAACTAGGGCTTTGGTCATTGGGAGTTCTTTCAGTGGGCTCCTGTGTCCCTTTGACATGTCCCCATCATGTATTTATTTATTATTTCTTTTTCGTTTTTGCTATAGGGCATGTGCACTCGCTGGAGAGAGACAGAGGGAGAGCAGGAAAGTGAGAAAGCACCTCCCAGGGGAAATGGCCACACTGCAGTCCTTTCTCCTCCATTCTCTTCTCGGGATTTTGGGCACGCGCACACATGTATCTGGCTTTTTTTTTTTTTTTTCAAGTCGCTGGGTCCAGGACATGAACTGCACAGTCAGCCAGGTGAGATCCAGCCACCTTAACCTCCACACTACCTGCTGGCCCACCCCCATCATTTAAATGTTTTTTTTTTCCTTCATTTATGACAGCATGTGTGTCATAAAAGAGAAGGGGGGAGGAGAGAGGGAGGAGCACCTTCCATAGGGTCCAGTCATGTCATGATCCCCTTCCTCCAGTACTCCAGCTCGTCAGATCTTGGGTGCTTGTGAATGTACCTGGTGTTTTTCAGGCTGACTGGGCTGGAGATTCAAAGCACAGTCACCGTGTGGGCTCCAGCTTCTCTTGAGCAGTGCATTACTGCTATAGCATGGAGCTAGAACCCATCATTGTTTTCTGATTTCCTTTTTTGAGTGTTTGCTTACTTTCTGGAATTATAAGATGCTTCAGGCCCATCTTGTATATTTTCTGTCTCATCCCCCAAATTGGCCATTTCTCTGAGGGGTCCTGGTTCCTTTTCTTGGAAAATGGTATTCGAAACCAGGATCTGGTCAATGGGGATACTCAGTGGCAGAGCAAGGAAATATATATGTTTATATTTACTTGTGTACATCTGTCTATGAGTATTTCGTATATAACCATCAATATCTCTCAAGATAAACATGAATTCATACTGATATCTCTAACCCTAATTACCACATGGATCACTCTAGCTGCCTTCCCTTGCTGGATCTATAAGCTCCCTTTCCAACAGTGAGAAACCTGTCTTTCACCAGCTGCCATCCACTTACTTAATTGTTCAGTTCCAGGACACATGTTGCCACAGTTTCAGAATTATTGACCAATATTCCCATAGTTAACAACTGTCTTTACAGAGGTTCTTTTTTTTTTTTTTTTGCCCCTTAGGGAGCGTGCACTTGCCCAGGGGGAGAGAGAAAGAGAGAAATGGTGAGAGGGAAAGTGAGAAATTAGCCCCCCTAGGGAGGAATGGCAATGCCCCAATTCTTTCTCCTCCATTCTCCTCCTGGGATCCTAAATCATGCACATACACATGCCTGGCATGAGTTTCAAGCCACCCGGTCTAGGACTTGAACTGTGGTCGACCATGTGGGAGTCCAGCGATGTAACTGCTATGCCATCTACTGGCCCCAACAACTGAATTTAATTAATCTTTTTCTTCTTTATCAATGATAGAGCACATGCATGTGCACATGAGAGAAAGAAAGAAAGATGAACACCCTCCATGTAGTCCTCTTCCTCCAGCCTGTCAGATCTGGGGCTCTCATGCACGTGCCTGGTATGCCGTAGGCTAACCCAGCTGGGAATTTATGCAAGTTGCCATATGGCATCTGGCTACTCTGGAGCAGCACATTACCACCGCATCACGGAGCCAGCCCGGGAAACAGCTATCTAATGCTTAAGTGTAGTGCCTTTTGCCTTTAGTCTTACAAACTCTACTGCTTTCCAATTTAGATAAAACAGCACTATTTCCCATACCTTGTTTTATTTCATTTTACTTTTTGTGGGGACAGGAAAGGGGAGGAAGAGATTTCTGACAGAGTCTCGCCATGTCATGATCTCCTGCCCTGTCCTCCCATCACCTAGGACCATGGGAGCATGCCGCTGTGCCCAGCTCATTCGAGTTGGTCCGGGAACCAGCTTCCTATGCATTCCCAGCCAGCATGCAGCAGCACCTTCCTATTGTGGCCAGGTCCTTTGTTTTTCTTTTCATTTTAGATTTTCCTTTATATTCCTCTCAGGGTATGTGATAGGGATTGTATTTTGACCCCTGAATTAAAAATTGTACTGGTGAAGGAGTTGCTATGAACTGGAGAAGAAGTATTAAAATTAGTTTCAAGTTAAACCAATCTGAAGTCACATTAAACCTTTTCTTTGAAGCAGATAGGAAGGAAGTATAGACGCAGTGGCTGGCAGGATTTTCAGTTCTGTATGGGCAAAGTACCCTTTTCTTTGTTCTGAGGAAGAAGTTGTTTAGTCTGTATCACTCTTGCTAATACTGACAGTGAAAATGAACTAACCTATTATAGTAATAATCTTAAAAATACTGTAAATGGGGCAGCCAGTTGGTGTGGTAGTTAGAGTGACTGAATCTCACATGGCCAATGGAGTGGTTCGAGTCCCAAGTGAAAATCTGCCAAGTGTATGTGTGTGTGTGTGTGTATGTGTGCGCCAGAAATCCCAGGAGGGACAATGAAGGAGAGGGGATTGTGATTAGTCCATCTGCCCTGTGGGGTGATTTCTTATTTTGTCTCTCTCGCTCTCAATCTGTCTTTCTGGTGAGCACTCGTGCGCATAGCGAATTTTTTTTAAAAAATTAAAATTTTAAATTAGAATTTAAAAAATAAAAATATTGTAAAGCAGGCTGTCAGGTGGCTTGGTGGTTAAGGGCGCTGGACTCCCACATGGACCAGTCTTGAACCTGGTGGCTTTCTTTCTCACTCTCACTCTGTCCCTCTGATCAAAAATAAAGTTAAATAAAGTAATTCTTTTTTTTAAAAAAATCATTCTCTTAAAAACAAACAAAAAAACCCCACAATATTGTAAAGACGCTCTACTTAAAAAAATATATTTTTATTTCTTTTTTCTATGAGCAAGAGAGACAGAGAAGAAGAAAGACTACCCCTAGTAGGGTCTGAATGTCACAATCCATCTCCAGCTTCAGCCAGTCCTGGATCGTGTGCACATGCGTGTCTGGCATACTCAGGGAGGTATCCAGACCTGAACTGTAAACCTTCCCATGCGGGATCACCTCACAGAGCACCACGTTTTCTGCTTCATCTCCATGGGCCCTCAAAGCTCTCCTCTTAAACATGTTTCTCTTCATCTAATGAATTTCTCTTATGTTAGAGCTGTGCTGTCAACCAGCCACATGTGATTATTTAAATTTAAATTACTTAAAGTGAAATAAAATGAAAATTTCAGTTCCTCACTCATACTAGTCCAATTTTGGGTGCTCACAATATTGGACAGTATAGTTACAGAAAATTGCCATCGCTGCGGAAAATTCTGTTGGACAGCACTGGGTTGGACAGTGGAACCAAGCAACTTTGTGTTTGAAACTGAACTCCCTAAAGTAGCCTTTCACCAGCTTGAATGTATAATCGAGATAATATTAATAGTCAAAAGAAATGATCCTTAACTAACAATCAATAATTTTAGATTGCTATTTTCTTGGGAAGAGCTGCCAATATTTATCCCTTGTCCCTCTTACTTAATTTGGGTAGAAGAAGTAAGATTGGATCGAATTTTCAACATATGATGATGTTTGCTGGTAAGTTACCAATTTCCTCTCTTGCCCACCCTGAGAAACCATTCACAATCCATATGCCAGTTCGATTGCAAACTGAAATGTTATGCTGGTAATATAAGACTCGTTTAAACATTGAAGTTGTATCCTCAAGTAGAAACAATTCTTTTTATAGTGTCCTGTTCCCTTCTATGAAAGTTTTTTCATTTTCTGGTTCCAATTCCTTGGTTCTGAAATAAGTCGTTCACAGTGAGGAAGATAAAGATGAATGCGTTTTCACACAACAAACCTGTGAGGGTTGATAGCAGTAGTGTTCATACTTGCCCAAACCTGGAAACAGCCCACTTGTCTGGTGGTGGATGACTAAACAGACTGTGGTACATCCACGCCATGGAACATTACTCAACACTAGAAAGAACAGACGATTGACCCAGCCAACCATGTGGATGCATCTCTGAGGCATTATGCTGTGTGAAAGCAGCAGTCTCCACAGATTATATTTATATGACAGTCTCAAAAAGACAAAAGCATAGCTATGGAGGACAGGTCAGTAGTTGCCAGGGTTTTGGTGGGGGGCCAAAGAGGTTGGACTGCAAAAGGGGGTAGGTAGCACAAAATAATTTGTGTGTGTGTGGCAGTGATGGAACTATTCTCTCTCTCTCTCTCTCTTTTTTAGAGAGGTTTTTGTTATAGGGTGTGTGCGCTCACCAGAAAGACAGAGAGACAGAAAGTGAGAAATCACCCCCCAGGGGGGATGACCATGCTGCAGTCCCTTCTTCTCCATTCTCCTCTCAGGATCATGAGCATGCACACACATGCACCTGGCATGAGTTTAAGCCACCGGGTCCAGGACTCAAACTGCGGTCGACTACATGGGAGTCCAGCGACATAGCCATTACACCAGCTGCTGGCCCCCGTGTTTTCTCTATTGATTGTGGTAGTGGTCACACACCTCTATGCACTTGTCGCAACTCACTGAACTGTATCCCAGAAAGAATGAAGCTTACTGTACATCTTTAAAAGTATATATTTTAAGGTTTTTGCCATAGGGCACATGCACTTGTCAGAGAGAGACAGAGATTAAGAATAGCTGCACCACCATCCCTTCTCCGTTCTCCACTTAGGATTTTGAGCATGCACGCACGTGTGCCTGGTGTGATTTTCAAGCCGCTGGGTCCCAGACTCATACCATGGTCAGTCATGTAGGAATCCAGTGCCTTAACTCCCATGCCACCTACTGACCCCGAAAAAAGAAATTTTAAAGAATTGTTAAAAGAGATGTTAGGTATATTGATACTTATTACTCATTTGCTTCCATGATTCTAAGATTTTAGAACTTGTTTTATTTCTGAGCTTACAAAGCTTGTGTCAGTGATGAGCTTCTGAAGAAATATTTCTTCTATCCCCCTGTAGGCCTTCGTGGTGCAATGGCATTTGCTTTGGCTATTCGAGATACCGCCACTTACGCACGGCAAATGATGTTCAGCACCACGCTTCTGATTGTGTTTTTTCCATGTGGGAGTCCAGCGATGTAACTGCTATGCCATCTACTGGCCCCAACAACTGAATTTAATTAATCTTTTTCTTCTTTATCAATGATAGAGCACATGCATGTGCACATGAGAGAAAGAAAGAAAGATGAACACCCTCCATGTAGTCCTCTTCCTCCAGCCTGTCAGATCTGGGGCTCTCATGCACGTGCCTGGTATGCCGTAGGCTAACCCAGCTGGGAATTTATGCAAGTTGCCATATGGCATCTGGCTACTCTGGAGCAGCACATTACCACCGCATCACGGAGCCAGCCCGGGAAACAGCTATCTAATGCTTAAGTGTAGTGCCTTTTGCCTTTAGTCTTACAAACTCTACTGCTTTCCAATTTAGATAAAACAGCACTATTTCCCATACCTTGTTTTATTTCATTTTACTTTTTGTGGGGACAGGAAAGGGGAGGAAGAGATTTCTGACAGAGTCTCGCCATGTCATGATCTCCTGCCCTGTCCTCCCATCACCTAGGACCATGGGAGCATGCCGCTGTGCCCAGCTCATTCGAGTTGGTCCGGGAACCAGCTTCCTATGCATTCCCAGCCAGCATGCAGCAGCACCTTCCTATTGTGGCCAGGTCCTTTGTTTTTCTTTTCATTTTAGATTTTCCTTTATATTCCTCTCAGGGTATGTGATAGGGATTGTATTTTGACCCCTGAAATAAAAATTGTACTGGTGAAGGAGTTGCTATGAACTGGAGAAGAAGTATTAAAATTAGTTTCAAGTTAAACCAATCTGAAGTCACATTAAACCTTTTCTTTGAAGCAGATAGGAAGGAAGTATAGACTCAGTGGCTGGCAGGATTTTCAGTTCTGTATGGGCAAAGTACCCTTTTCTTTGTTCTGAGGAAGAAGTTGTTTAGTCTGTATCACTCTTGCTAATACTGACAGTGAAAATGAACTAACCTATTATAGTAATAATCTTAAAAATACTGTAAATGGGCCAGCCAGTTGGTGTGGTAGTTAGAGTGACTGAATCTCACATGGCCAATGGAGTGGTTCGAGTCCCAAGTGAAAATCTGCCAAGTGTATGTGTGTGTGTGTGTGTATGTGTGCGCCAGAAATCCCAGGAGGGACAATGAAGGAGAGGGGATTGTGATTAGTCCATCTGCCCTGTGGGGTGATTTCTTATTTTGTCTCTCTCGCTCTCAATCTGTCTTTCTGGTGAGCACTCGTGCGCATAGCGAATTTTTTTTAAAAAATTAAAATTTTAAATTAGAATTTAAAAAATAAAAATATTGTAAAGCAGGCTGTCAGGTGGCTTGGTGGTTAAGGGCGCTGGACTCCCACATGGACCAGTCTTGAACCTGGTGGCTTTCTTTCTCACTCTCACTCTGTCCCTCTGATCAAAAATAAAGTTAAATAAAGTAATTCTTTTTTTTAAAAAAATCATTCTCTTAAAAACAAACAAAAAAACCCCACAATATTGTAAAGACGCTCTACTTAAAAAAATATATTTTTATTTCTTTTTTCTATGAGCAAGAGAGACAGAGAAGAAGAAAGACTACCCCTAGTAGGGTCTGAATGTCACAATCCATCTCCAGCTTCAGCCAGTCCTGGATCGTGTGCACATGCGTGTCTGGCATACTCAGGGAGGTATCCAGACCTGAACTGTAAACCTTCCCATGCGGGATCACCTCACAGAGCACCACGTTTTCTGCTTCATCTCCATGGGCCCTCAAAGCTCTCCTCTTAAACATGTTTCTCTTCATCTAATGAATTTCTCTTATGTTAGAGCTGTGCTGTCAACCAGCCACATGTGATTATTTAAATTTAAATTACTTAAAGTGAAATAAAATGAAAATTTCAGTTCCTCACTCATACTAGTCCAATTTTGGGTGCTCACAATATTGGACAGTATAGTTACAGAAAATTGCCATCGCTGCGGAAAATTCTGTTGGACAGCACTGGGTTGGACAGTGGAACCAAGCAACTTTGTGTTTGAAACTGAACTCCCTAAAGTAGCCTTTCACCAGCTTGAATGTATAATCGAGATAATATTAATAGTCAAAAGAAATGATCCTTAACTAACAATCAATAATTTTAGATTGCTATTTTCTTGGGAAGAGCTGCCAATATTTATCCCTTGTCCCTCTTACTTAATTTGGGTAGAAGAAGTAAGATTGGATCGAATTTTCAACATATGATGATGTTTGCTGGTAAGTTACCAATTTCCTCTCTTGCCCACCCTGAGAAACCATTCACAATCCATATGCCAGTTCGATTGCAAACTGAAATGTTATGCTGGTAATATAAGACTCGTTTAAACATTGAAGTTGTATCCTCAAGTAGAAACAATTCTTTTTATAGTGTCCTGTTCCCTTCTATGAAAGTTTTTTCATTTTCTGGTTCCAATTCCTTGGTTCTGAAATAAGTCGTTCACAGTGAGGAAGATAAAGATGAATGCGTTTTCACACAACAAACCTGTGAGGGTTGATAGCAGTAGTGTTCATACTTGCCCAAACCTGGAAACAGCCCACTTGTCTGGTGGTGGATGACTAAACAGACTGTGGTACATCCACGCCATGGAACATTACTCAACACTAGAAAGAACAGACGATTGACCCAGCCAACCATGTGGATGCATCTCTGAGGCATTATGCTGTGTGAAAGCAGCAGTCTCCACAGATTATATTTATATGACAGTCTCAAAAAGACAAAAGCATAGCTATGGAGGACAGGTCAGTAGTTGCCAGGGTTTTGGTGGGGGGCCAAAGAGGTTGGACTGCAAAAGGGGGTAGGTAGCACAAAATAATTTGTGTGTGTGTGGCAGTGATGGAACTATTCTCTCTCTCTCTCTCTCTTTTTTAGAGAGGTTTTTGTTATAGGGTGTGTGCGCTCACCAGAAAGACAGAGAGACAGAAAGTGAGAAATCACCCCCCAGGGGGGATGACCATGCTGCAGTCCCTTCTTCTCCATTCTCCTCTCAGGATCATGAGCATGCACACACATGCACCTGGCATGAGTTTAAGCCACCGGGTCCAGGACTCAAACTGCGGTCGACTACATGGGAGTCCAGCGACATAGCCATTACACCAGCTGCTGGCCCCCGTGTTTTCTCTATTGATTGTGGTAGTGGTCACACACCTCTATGCACTTGTCGCAACTCACTGAACTGTATCCCAGAAAGAATGAAGCTTACTGTACATCTTTAAAAGTATATATTTTAAGGTTTTTGCCATAGGGCACATGCACTTGTCAGAGAGAGACAGAGATTAAGAATAGCTGCACCACCATCCCTTCTCCGTTCTCCACTTAGGATTTTGAGCATGCACGCACGTGTGCCTGGTGTGATTTTCAAGCCGCTGGGTCCCAGACTCATACCATGGTCAGTCATGTAGGAATCCAGTGCCTTAACTCCCATGCCACCTACTGACCCCGAAAAAAGAAATTTTAAAGAATTGTTAAAAGAGATGTTAGGTATATTGATACTTATTACTCATTTGCTTCCATGATTCTAAGATTTTAGAACTTGTTTTATTTCTGAGCTTACAAAGCTTGTGTCAGTGATGAGCTTCTGAAGAAATATTTCTTCTATCCCCCTGTAGGCCTTCGTGGTGCAATGGCATTTGCTTTGGCTATTCGAGATACCGCCACTTACGCACGGCAAATGATGTTCAGCACCACGCTTCTGATTGTGTTTTTTACTGTGTGGGTATTTGGTGGTGGCACTACTGCCATGCTGTCATGCCTGCATATAAGGTAAGTGCCAAGTGGGGACCTTGTTTTAACATTAAGTTTTAATTTAATTTTTTTTCTTTTGGTCATAAGATTGTAAGCTTTGATAGCTCTGTAATGTATCATTTTTTTTCTTTTAAAAAGGAAACTATAACGTAGTCAGAAGAAAATGTGCAAAAGAAAGATAAAAACTATTTTTAACACTTTGAGAGAGATCTTTCCAGAACATGCACTATATATATTTTTAACCAAAAAGGGTACCAGGAAATGTATTGTTGGGAACTGAACGTAATGAAGTATGGGCATTTAGATTAATAAATGTACTTAAATAATTATTTTATGGCTGCATATTGTCCTGATGTATTTTGCCAAATTCCTATTGTTAGACTTTTGTATTGTTTCTAGGATTTTGCTATTACCAGTGCCATTTGTGGATTTCATTGTTACTATTACCATTAACAATGTGAATAGTTTAAATGTATACACCACCGTGCACTTGCTGGGTTATTTCCTTAGGATGCACTCCTACAAGTGGCATTGCTTAGTTGACAGGCTATGCATTTCTTTAAAGCTTTTGAGCCATAGCGCCAGGTTGGATCAAATACTTTGCTTCCATCTGTAATACATGAGGCAGTTCCAATTTAGCCCATTTATAATCAATACTAGATATTACCATTCTTTCCCATCTTTTTGATTAGCACTGTTTCTAACCTAACCGTTCAAAGCCAAGATCTTGAGGCCGTAGTCTTCAATACATATAGTTAATGTATTCGACTTGAAAGCTCCCTTGTATGTCAAGAGTTCTGCATTTGTTTCCATGGAGACAGCAGCCTGTGTTGCTGAAGCCTTTGTAGATTTTAGTTCTGTGTTTGGCTGAAACTTCATAGATGTTAAGAGCTACTGAGCTTTGAGAATACGGAGGGTTCATTAGAGGAAACAGTATTTCACATTTTAGAGAATCTGTCCTCCATTTTTTTCATTCTCTGTAGCCTTTTTTTGACATTGTGAAGACTAGCGAGCCCTGAATCACTTTGAATGTTGCTGTTACTGTCTTAATCTCTCTTTACTGTTCAAATCCCTTTCTTCTAATTTCTATGCTATTGTTCTATATAATAGAAGATACACAAAAATAATGTTCTCATAGTCCTAATTATTTGTTCAAGGAGGACTTTACATTTATCGAGCACCTACTTGTGCTAGGTATTGTGCTGAGTGCATTTTACGTATTTACTGAGTCACAATAACTCCATTTTGCAAGCAAAGAAATAGAGGCTTAGAAAGGCTCCAAGTTATTCAAGGTCATACCAATAATTAAATGGTGGACAGAGGAACTTCAAATCTTACTTAATTTCTTATACTCCGTGTTGCTGCAAGAAACGAGGTGGTACATTTCAAAAGGATGAAGTATATTTCTTTTCTCAAGACCTTTTTACTAAGGAGAAAAAAAAATTAAATATAAGATAATTTAGGACAAATAATGCTGTTCAACGTTGTTTAAGTAGAATCAGTTCTCTTCCCTGAGTACCCTCCACACAAACCAAACAAAACACTCATACTTATTGTTCTCTCCCACAAAAGACAAGCCAGAACTGAAAGCCTACCTACTCATAAAATCTGCTCTGTGTTCCTCTCTCTTTGGCCGCATCTTGCCTGTCCTGTAACATAGCTTGACAATTACATACACTGTCTTGCAGTCTTAGATTAGTCCTTGATTTCTTGTTTTTCAACCTCTTTGCAAACAGAGGCTGAATTTAAGGTTCTCTTTCCTCCCTTCAAGTTTGTCTAGTATAATTTTGAAGATGCTGTTAAGTCCTGGAAGTTGAAGGTTCACATAAACTTAGACTTGGCTTTGAGTTCTTGTTCTCTTACTAATACTTTCTCAAGTTCTTTAAGTTTTTAAATTCTCAGTTTCCTCACCTGTAACATGGGTGTCGTAGTACCTGCCTCCTGGAGTCATCATAAGGATTCAGTGAGCTAGTGTCCATAAAGCTCTCAGCACAGCATTTTTTAAAAGAATGATTTAATTTAACTTTTTTTATTTATTTAATTGACCAGAGAGAGACAGAGCGAGAGCAAGAGAAAGAGAGAAAGCAAGCTGCTAGGTCTGGAACTCAAACTACAGTCGGCCATGTGGGAGTCCAGCACCACCTGTAACATGGGTGTCGTAGTACCTGCCTCCTGGAGTCATCATAAGGATTCAGTGAGCTAGTGTCCATAAAGCTCTCAGCACAGCATTTTTTAAAAGAATGATTTAATTTAACTTTTTTTATTTATTTAATTGACCAGAGAGAGACAGAGCGAGAGCAAGAGAAAGAGAGAAAGCAAGCTGCTAGGTCTGGAACTCAAACTACAGTCGGCCATGTGGGAGTCCAGCACCCTTAACCATTATGCCACCTGCCGGCCCCATCAGCACAGCATTTTTAATGTGCCTTTTTAGTCATTTAGTCCATCAGTATTTGTGGAACACTGATCATGTGTCGGGCACTGTTTTAGGCTCCAACTCAGTTCTCACCTGTGGATAACTGGAGGTGTTTGGAGGCATTTTTGATTGTCACACCTAGGAGAGGGGCTGCTACTGGCATTGAGTGAGTAGAGGTTAGGGACGCTATTAAACACTTCACAGTGTACAGAGCAGGCTCTTCCCCTCTCTACCCCGTCTCCCCCTCTCTGCAAACAAAGATTGATCTCGACCAAAATGTCAGTAATGCTGAGGTTAAGAAACTGCTGTAGAGAAGGACAGTAACAGTCATAAAATAGAAAAGATCCCTGGTCTCATAAAGTCCGTGCTCTGGTAGGAGAAGATAGACAATAAACTAGTAAATAAATGAGCATAACAATTCAAGGTAGTATTAAATCCTGTGGTGCTGGGATAGTGACTGTGGATGGGTGTATATTTTATGTGAGGAGGTCAGAGAAGACCTTTCATTCTTTTTCAAATTAACTATAGGCACATGTACTTGCTGGTGAGAGAGAATGTGAGAAAGCTCCCCACCAGGAAAGATGATCACGCCACAATCCCTTCTCTTCCATTCTCCTTTCAGGATTTTAGGCACACATATACACGTCTGGCGTGTTTTTCAAGCTGCCATGTCCAGGACTTGAACTGCACAGCCATGAGGGATCCGGCTGCCTTAACCGCCATGCCACCAGCTGGCACAGGGCAGGTGTTTCTGAAGGGTTACATTTGAGCTCCTTCTACCCGAATGACAATGATCATCAAGGGCAATGCAGGTCAAGAGAAAAGCAAATGCAAAGCTCCTGGGGCAGAAACAGACTTGGACTGTTTAATGAATGGAAAAAAGGCTCACATCGCTGGAGTCAAATAGGCTCCTTTTATCCACAGTTTCGCTTTCTGTGGTTTCAGCTACCTGTGAGCAACTGCAGTCTGAAAATATTAAAATAAATCATTCATAAGTTTTAAATTGCATGCCATTCTGAGTATCATGATGAAATCTCATGCCATGCTGCCTGGGATGTGAATCATCCCTTTCTTTGTCCATCGTATCCACACTGATGCTACCTGTGCATTAGTCACTTAGTGGCCATCTTAGTTATCAGATTAAAAAAAAAAAGTAGGGCCAGCGGGTGGCATGGCGGTTAAGGCAGCTGAATCCCACCCGACTGACTGCATAGTTGGAGGTCTGGATCTGGTGGCTTGCGAAACAGGCTGGACATGTATGCGTGCATGCCCAAAACCCCAAAAGGGGGGAGACATGGAGGAGAAGGAATTGCGCCATGACCATTTCACACAGGAATGCTATCTCCCTTTCTCTTTCTCTCTCTCTCCAGTAAGCACATGTGCCCTCTGGCAAAATGAAAAAAAGAAAAATGACAAAGCAAAGCATGGTATATATAGTGCGTTGTACTAGCCAGAGTTTTTGGCTTTCACTGAGGGCCTTGGAACATATCCCACACCGAAGAGGAGAGACAATGATGTAGTGATGGAAAATGAGGTGGGCAAGATCCTATGGGGGCACTGGTCTGCAAAGGTTTCCTATAAAGGGCCAGTTAGTATTGGGGGTCATCAGAAAAGTCATGATGCATTTTTGCAAAGAAAAACAGAAAGATGTGTCAGGACTTTTCGAATGACCCAACAAATAGTTGAGGCTTTGCGGGCTATACAGTGACTGAATTCTGGGGTGAAAGCAGCTGTAGACTGTATAAATCTGTTGGTGTGGCTGTGTGCCAACATAAGTTTATTTGCAAAAGCAGGAGGGGTACCCAGTGTGGCCCCTGGGCTATAGTTTGTGGACCCCTGCTGTAGGGTCTTATAGGTCGTGGGAAAGACTTTGGGTTTTAAAATGCAATTGGAAATCTTAGAGGATTTTTAAAAAATCAGAATGATCTAATTTACATCGTTAAAAGATCACTCTAGCTGTTGCATGGACCGTGGATCCTCAGTAAATTAGAACCAGGCAGCTTTTCTTGTGTCCTTTCGCATAGTTTGTGGTAGTCACATTTGGCTCTCTGCCATTTACTATACATGCTTTGCACTTCTCTGTCTCTGAGCCTTTGCTCATGCTGTTTCCTCTGCCTGGAATTCTCTCTCACTGCCAGGAAATGACAGAGCTACATGCCTCTGCCCCTTTCCTTCTTCTTTCCTCTTGGAACCAGTCTTCTGATGGCATAACGTTGGGTCCCTCTATTGTAGCGCTGTTTCATTCAGCCTTGTAGTATTGTTATATGAGCTCCTGCTTAGCATTAGTGATGCATCGGGGGTGCCCTTTTAAAAAATCACTCAATACGTTTTCTCATTTAATCTTGGCAGCAACTCTGTGCGGTGGACATTAGCCCCATTTTCCAGATGATACATTACAGTCCCTAGGGTTGTGTCACTTGAATGAAGTCTCACAGCTAGAAAGCAACTGAGGTCAAATGTGGACCCAGCACTCCCTGATGGCAAGCCCTTCAGAGCTATGCTCTAGTCACGTGTTTCCCCCACCAGTCTGTGAGTTCCTGAGGGCCTGGGCTGTGTGTAATCCACGTCTATGCCTGGGCCTAGCAGATAATAAGTGCTCTGTAAATGTTTGTGTCATTCACTTGGCAACGATAATGTCCCGGCTGAGTCCTGCAGATGTACTATCTCCAAGACCACTAGATGTCACTTGAGATACATGAATGTAGTTAGGGTTTCATGTGGCTGAGAAGACACTGAGCAGCTTCTGGCCATTTTAACACAGAAAAAGAAACCAGCCTTTCTTTGAATTATGAACTAGTCATGGCCATCTGTTTTCCAGTACTTGACTGGAATTCCTTTGCCTTCCAGATACGGCCTTGCCTCTCTTTCCCCCCATTCAGTGTTATTTGGATTCTGGGACAGTGCCGCCACAGCTTCTCACATAACTCTTGGTTGTGTGCTGTCTGTAGTAGTTAGCTCAGTCGATGAACTGTTAAGCACCCATGGTGTGTCAGGTACTCTGCTAGATCTGGGGATACAGAGATGAACTGAGACATGGCCTTTACCCTTAAGGAGCTTATAGCCTTTTTGAGGAGACAGGCAGGGAAATAATGATACGCTCCTGTGCTAAGTATCACCATAAATAGGACTCTAGAAAGCATCACAAAATGCACAGAGGACAAAATGGTTCTGTTTCAAGGGATCATAGAATGGTTACTTTGAAACTTGAAAAAGAAGTAGATTAAACAAATAGATAATTTTCCAGCTAGAGGGAGCAGCATGAGCAAAGGGATGGAGGCTTAGGAGAGGACAGCGTTCAGAGAGAGGAGCAGGCAGGTACGAGAGTCTAGGGTGTGTCAAAGAGAATGACGGGAAATAAGGATGGAAAGGTAGGTTGGAGTCAGGGGGCACTAGTTTGTAGAGGGCTTTGAATGTTACACAGAGGACTTTAGACTTGCCCCTCTGGCCCTTAAGCCACTTACATCTTTACTCAGAGAGTTCCGTGCTTGCAACGGCTAACTGGGGAGAGCTGGCTGCTGGAAAACCTTATACCCAACAGACCCCATGTCAGAATGAGGGTCCATGTTTGAGGAGTTGGGCTGGGAAGGAGAGAGACCTGAGAGGCAGCTTAGACAGGGAGCAGGGTTGGTGAGTGCTCCTCTTTAGGAGACAGAGAGGAGTCAGAGAACTTTATTGCAAGGCTGCTCCCAGGAGACGGGAAGCAGGGATTCTAAGCAGATAAAAGGAATTATGAAGAACCAAGGCTAATGTCTGTCCATTAGCCTATGAAGAACTATGACAGGACCCGTCTTTAGCCATCATAACACAATGTTGCCAGAGAGGTGCGAGGTCCAGAAACAGGCTGCTCCCTCCAGAACTGCGCTGTGCCAGCCTCGCTTCTAGACCCATCCAGTCGTGTTCTTATTCAGTAACTGGGTCAGGACTGCTCTCTCAACTCTGCTGAGAGTAGACTTAAATTCAGAAATGACAATGCTGTTTTTCTGAAATCGGTAAGTGAAATTGTAGGAAGAGAATCATGAGGACACCCCACTTTCCTTTGAGTCCAAGCCATTGCCAAGGAAAGTGTCCAGAGCCAGAAATGGACATCAGCACCCCCAGAGAAGCAAGAAGGTATTAGCTGCTCCATAGCTCGTGGGCTGAGAAAAGTAGTTGCCTACCGGTGTACATATGTGAACAGCCTTTTTCTGGCTTTCAAATCTCACTTGCTCTTTGTGTTTCTCCTTTAGGGTTGGTGTTGATTCAGACCAAGAACATTTGGTAAATATGCATTTGTGTTTTCCCTGGCATTTCTGTTGAATGTGCAGGTTTTGAGAAAGAAAACAGTCTACTGTCAACTTCATGCCACTATTTAGATCTGGTCCAGGTTGCCTCAGCCTTTGACTGACATCACTCCTGGCTCTTCTCGCTTCCCCATAGAGACGAAACCAAACTTTAAACTGTGTGGTTATCCAAGGTGACAGTGTCCCTATCTGTGGGCCTTCCTGGGCTTTTGGCACAGAGGAGAGTCATCCCTCAAGTACCCCAGGGGGTCCCAGTGCCTTCTGTGGCACGGAAGTCCTACTTTGGTCTGCCCCTGATGGCTTCTAGCGGACGGGTGCCCTTTCTAGTTGGCTTCCCTGTGTAACTTGCAAATCAGATGACAGCAGCTGCCCTGGAGAACTGCCTGGAAGCATTTGAGTCTTGAGCCAGCTCCCCCCCTCGTCTGTCCAGGGGAGTGTACTCTCTTACCCTGTGCCCTAGCCTTGGCTACATTTCCTGCCCTGCCTCCTTCCTTCCGTGTGTCTGCTTCTCAGTGTTCCTATGAGCTGAGCCTGCTGGGCCAAGTGCAGTGTAACTCACTGCCCTCTCTAGGCTGGCCACATTTTCTGGCATTTTCCATCTGCTTTTTAATGGTTTTTGAGTTCCACCAAATACATGACTCTGTACTAGACATTACATGAGGAATCGCAGAACTTAGGTCTTTTTTTTCTTTCTTTCTTTTTTTCCTTTTTTTTTTTTTCCTATAGGGCATGTGCCACTCACCAGAGAGAGACAAAGAGAGAGGGAAAGTGAGAAATTACCTCTCCCCGCCCCAGGAGAGTGGCCACACTGTAATACCTTCTATTGTATGTATCCTCCTCTCAGGATTTTGGGCGCACACACACACACACACACACACACACGTTTCCAGTGTGATTTTCAAGCTGCTAGATCCAGGCCTTGAACCGCAGTTGGCCATGTGGGAATCCAGTGCCTTAACTGCCATGCCACTCGCAGGCCCCCAGAACTTAGCTTTTTGAATATGGAAGATGTCTCTTTCAAAACACAATTCTTTTCCTTGTCTGAAACAAGCCCTAGTATAATTGTCTTCAGGGTGCGGTTAGAAAATAAGACGTTTATCAGGCTCATTTCCTCAATACTAATTTTATGAGCTATCGAGCAATGAGTGTGGATGTATACTTGTGATATAGTAAGTCCTTGCTTCTTTTGTGGTCAGAACCTTCAAGCAGAATTCCATGGGCTTGAAATACTTGTACAAGCCATGCCGGCTCAGTTCTTGTATTGTCAAAGAGCAGGGTAGTGTCCATGGGGAATAGCTCCTCACGCCTCCACCCCCTGTGGCAGAACAAGAATCAAGTAGACAGCTCACAAGACAAATGCCTGATCACTGTCTACATAAGTCTCCATCAGTGGTGTCACCTCTGCCACCACAGAGGAGAAACAGAAATGGAGTGACAGGGAGCGAGCCAGGTAGGTGTGTACCAGATGTGACGTACAGAAAGAGATACCATCTCCCCCTGTGCTTCAGAGCCCTGTGGATATCTTGATAGTATTTACTCAGTATTTGAAGTGTCTTCTAGGAAACACAGAGAAACATAGTAAGAATGTGTGGGGGGGGTGGGCAGGCGCACAGGTGTGCGTGTGGGGAGGGGTTGTGACATTCATAAATGAAGTGCTCTTTGAGGAGTGGAGACACATGAGCTATGCTTAATGATGGGAGAGGAAATACAGATGGTGTTCTTTGGCTCTTGCAAACCCGTCTAGTGTCTCAGACGTTTTTCCATTATGTACATATTGATGCATGCTAAGAGAAAGTCATTCATTTTGAGGATTAGGAAGGAGCCCAAACCCAGACTCAAAATTCTATGCTCTTAGAAAATAATGGAATGGTAGAATATTAGCCCTGGAAAGGGTCTTAGGGATTCTCTAACCCTCACATTTTATACACCAAGAAATTTGGGTGCAGAGAGGGAAAAGACTTCCCCCCTCACCCCCCGCACTTAATGTCAACAAGCCTGGGCTGGAAGCAAATTGCCTGAATGCCCCAACTACTGGCTGTGCCATGTGACAAATAAGGACATGGTTTTATATTTTCTGGAGGCTATTTTAGAAGATGCCTGCCTGCTCTCTTAGTTTTCCCTCCTAGCCAGTCAGGCTCACTGTGGAATTTCCCTACTTGTTTTCATTTCGCTAGTGTCCTGAGAAAAAAATACCAGTTACTTTTGAAATTCCTGACAGCTCCCAAAGATGGGAATGTTGATGGGATGTTTGCTATGTAAGGATGTAAGGTGCTGTAACATTGGGGGGGGGGGTATGGGGCTTTACGAATCAAGGGGGGGGGGGGGTTATGAGTCTTTCAGATTAGGAAGTGAATTATCCCACATTGATATATAAGGTGCATGTGCTTGAGAGAGAGAGAGGGAGAGAATGAGCAGGAAAGTGAGAAATCATCCCCCAGGGGGATGGCCATGCCACAATCCCTTCTCCTTGGATTTTGGGCATGCATACACACACGCCCAGCGTGATTTTCAAGCCGCTGGTCCGGTACGCAAACCATGGTCAGCCATATGGAAACCCAGTGCCTTAATCACCACGCCACCTGCTGGCCCTCCCACATTGATATTTTTAAATGACGATAGATTCATAAATTAGCAAGCAGCATGAGTAATAGAGGTGTTCAGAAAAACATTTCAATTTGTTATTCCAAAGCTGCCATATACAAGATGTTTCTTCTATTAACATGTTGAAGAGTATCTTATGCATAGTAGGGCTCTCTTTCCGCTTGCGCACAGGTATGGCTCTAAACAAATGTCTGTGTCTTTGTATACATATTAATTTATGTATTATTGTCTGCAGGGTGTTCCTGAAAGTGAAAGGAGAACCACCAAAGCCGAGAGTGCTTGGCTCTTCCGGATATGGTATAACTTTGATCATAAGTATCCTTAATGAGATAAAAAGATAACATAGACATGGATAATGACAGTTTAATGAACAACGGATCTGACTGGCCCCTTCCTGAAGTGGCATAGCCAGCCCTCATTAGTCTTCCTATTCCCTATGAGTGTAATGGAGAAGGAAACCCACACAAACAAATCCCTCTGTGAGCCCACAAACCCAGCAGGGACTGGTTACTGCAGAAGCTGGTTGTGTGAGGGGAATTGAGAGCCCAAATAACATGCCTTCTTTGACATAATGGGTTTATTTATCAATTAAATTTTACTATTTATTGTTCTGTAACTAAGTTAGTGATCCCTGCAAAAGGTATTTGTTGGTTTTTGGTGTAGTTACTAGGTTGAAAGACGACAGGCTGCTTTAGGGAAAAGGTTGAGAAAGAAATTGATATACCATAATGTGATGCTCTAATGTTTGGTGATCGTCCTTTTCCCCTCCTGATCTTTCCAAAGACTGGGAGAGTCTCCTCTTCAGTGAATGCCCCAAAAAGCTGACATTTTCTTTTTTCTTTTTGGAGAGGTTTCTGCTATAGGGTGTGTGCACTCGCCAGACAGACAGAGAGAGACAGAGAGACAGAAAGCGAGAAATCACCCCCCAGGGGGGATGGCCATGCCGCAATTCCTTCTTCTCCATTCTCCTCTCAGGATCCTGGGCACACATGCACACGCGCCCGGTGTGAGTTTTAAGCCACCGGGTCCGGGACACGAACCACGGTCGACTACGTGGGAGTCCAGCGA